TATATATATATATATTGAAAAAAATATTTTAAATAAGAAAATTCAGTACAAAATTCATATACTATAACTCAAATAAACAATATATATAATTAAAAAGAACAAATATAATATAACATGGATAAAATCATATGTATAGTTGCTTTGAAACTAATAAAATAAAATACGAGAGTTAATTATTCCATACACACCAACTGATAATATAAATAACATAAAGCAAAATGAATAAGTGAAAAGGTACAATTAGATTATTATTCAGAAACTTGGAGTTGGAATATATTTACGTTTTTAATGTTCAGTTCTATTTTAATTTATAGATTAAGATTTTAAAAAATAAAATGAGTTAAATTGAGTTATAAATCAATTAAATTTTGCAAGCCCACAAGAATAATTCCATCTTTTTTACACATCAATAATACAACCACTGTCAAGCTTTTGATCAATGACCATCACGCTTTGATCTATGAACCGTGTGTTTCTGTCATGCTTCCAAACATCACAATTCTGAAAACGTCACTACAAAAAAAAAAGACTAGTTTGAATCATTTATTTTCTATATTTGTATTAGTTATAAATGATGTAAAAACCTTTTACATCACTTACAAAAATGACTTAGTTTTTGGTGATGCAAATAATTTGTATCAGTTTGTTCAAAATTGATGTAAAAATAGCTAATATTTCCATCAATTACTTTAAGTGATATTAGTAAGTGTCAGTTAGTAAAAGTGATGTTATTATTTACATCATTTGTTATAAATGATGTTTGTATTAGTGTCAATTAAACAAATTGATTATAATTATTTAAATCATTTACTATTAGCTGATGTAACGTTAATATCAATTTGAGAAATGATTTTAATAATTATATAGTTTATAATTAATTCTATAATTTCGAATGACTGATTACATGAGTTATTTATCAACTGTAAATAATTGATGTTGGACTTAATTTGATATAAAAATTTACCAGAAAAAAAAATTATATAAAAATTTTCAATATTAATTTTTCTTATTGTATGACATAGAAAGAAAAATAAATCATATACATAGATCTCTATAAACTCCTGATCAGTCATTTTTCACGTAGCTTCATCAATCATGCACTCAGATCTCCTTCACAGCCTCCTAAGCTTTATCACATGCCCGTGGTTCCCCTCTCCTTGAAATAATCTAATGCATCATTAGTGAGAAAAGCCTTTGCCCGCCAGCCTCTCTTTCGACTCGAGAAGATTAGATGAGGCAATAACAAAACCTTTTCGTAAAGTCTGTTCAATGAGTCCATGATGTTATCCATCTCAATCCTTCTCCCTTCAAAAACTGCTCACACCAAATATCATCCAATATGACAACATGAGATTACAAGTTTTAAACCAATAGCTTTTCCAAACAAATCAATAAGCAAGAGAGATAAGTAAAATCTATATCTCTAAACAAGTATTTCTAAATAAGAAATCCTAAACAACAAAAGTATGACTGAGAGAAATCAAAATCTCAAGAAAGCTATTCTAAAGTCAAAAGAGAAATAATACCTTTTGCAATTTTGTTCCCGTCAAATTCCGTAACAACCCTTAGTTTACTTTCAAATCATGCATAAGAAAAAATAAAATCATCAGCATCATATAAGAGAAAATGCTTCACGCCACTAATAACTCGTATAAGAACTTTAAAAAAAAAATCAAAGAAGTGAACAGAACAGTTATATTGTGCAACAAAGTTTAAAAATGAGAGAGGAGAAGAACGTGGAAGTGGGGTAGTGAGAATATCCTTTTTGGAGATGAAATGGCTAAGAACAAAACCTAATTAATTAGACCCACAAGAAAAATAAACTAAATCCACAAAAATCTTAACTATATTGTAATCTCTGGTTTATCTAAAAAATTAGCCAATAATTTAATAAGTTTTATATTAGAACAAATTTTCAAATGACGAAAATTAAAAGAAAATTATAACATCATATTTGTTAAACTAATATTAAAGGAAAATATAGTAACCGAATTTATATTAGCATCAGTTTTTTATTGATGCAAAATTTTGTATCACTTTAGTGAGTGATGTTAACCCATAAAATAAATGCATCAGTTACTTAATCAATGCAAATCTATATTATAATGATTCACTTTTGAAGCTCCTAAGGCTGTCCACGTTAGCAGTTGAGTGGACCCCGCGTTTGGGAAACAAAAAGATATAAAATTATGTAAGATTGATTGTTACTGATGAAAGACGAAATGGGCCAGTGGTGAGATGATGAGAAGCTTGATCGACGAGAACACCGGTTCGAAACGCACGCAGTGCATTCTTTTTTTTGGTTTCATTGGGTCTTTTGGCCCGCGCATGGGAAACAAAAAGATGTAAAATGATGTAAGATTGATTGTTATTGATGAAAGACGAAATGGCCAAATGGTGTGATGACATTAAGTTTGATCGACGAGAACACGGGTTCGAAAGACACGCAGTGCATGCAATTTTTTTGGTTTCATTGGGCCTTTTGGTTTGTATTTTGGGCTGCAGGTTTTAATTGGACTTTTTCGGTTTGATACCCAGGAGCCTAGGTTTTCTCAGGAGGCTTACAGCGCGCCACGTCAGCAGTTTTGTGGGTTTCGTAGATATTTTTTAAACAATCATAGTCTTGGTAAGATGATTACAAACAATGAAATACACTTTAGCCAAGTGGTATAAGGTGTCTAATTAAGTATGCAAGATTGTGGGTTCAAACCACGTAGCTATCACGTATTTTTTATTTTTTTTTATTTGGGTTATTATCATATGGACTTTTTGTTTATAATGTTTTTATGTTTTTTTGGGCTTATTGTTTTAAAGATCAAAAAAGTTGGATAAACCCAAAATCTTAACAAGTTCAAACCCAAAATAGTTAAAAATTAATCCAAACGAACAATAAAAAAAAAACAAAAAAACAAAAGCAAGTGTCACGTGATTGCCTACGCGGATGGCTTAAAGAACCTTAAAACTATCCTATTATAATATAGCTCAACTCAAAAATAATAAAAAAAAAATCCAAAAACAAACAGACCAAAAATAAGAAGTGAATTCCACGCAGGTGCCTACATGGATGGCTTAATGAGACTTGAATAATATAGATTAGGAGCTCAAAAAGTTAAATCATTGCACCTATTTCCTAATATATATTTTCAAAAAATTTGTATGTGAGATAAAATTAAAAAAACAACAAAAATTAATTATTTGCGTTATTTATTAAATGAATATGTAATTTCTCTTACATTTTAATAACTACTATAATTTTATTGTTGCACATATTTCCTAATATATGTTTTCAAAAAATTTGTATGTGAGATAAAATAAAAAAACAACAAAAATTAATTTTTCGTTATTTATTAAATGAATATGTAATTTTTCTTACATTTTAATAACTACTATAATTTTATTGAAAACATTTCTCACCACCGATTCCAGACTCCGGCGAATGGATTCCCACAGTCGATGACGCCGTAGATAAAAATGCCACATCATTTATGAACAAAACTCAAACTTACAAAAAACCATATATAAAAACCTATCTAATGAAACTTAAACAACAAATATTAAATTAATTAAGGTTATTTTAAAATTAATAAATCGTTTAATACAAATATAAATACTATAAATATAGAATTATATCAAGTTTTGATCTACGATATAAAAACTATTTACAGCAACAAAAAAACACCTACTTTTACACACTAAAAACTATATTATAGCATAACTATTCCTATAAACCTTACTTCGCATATAAATAACATTTAACACATTCCTAATATTTTTCAAAAAAAATTGTATGTGAAATAAAATAAAATAAACAACAAAATTTAAGTATTTTTAGTTATTTATTAAATGAATATGTAATTTCTCTTACATTTTAATAACTACTATAATTTCATTGAAAACATTTCTCACCACCGACTCCAGACTTCGGCGAATGGATTCCCACAGTCGATGACTCCGTAGATAAAAATGCCACTTCATTTATGAACAAAACCCAACCTTACAAAACCATATATAAAAACCTATCTAACGAAACTTAAACAACGAATACTAACTTAATTAAGATTATTTTCAAATTGATAAATCGTTTAATACAAATATATATACTGTAAATATATAGTTATATCAAGTTTTGACATACGATACAAAAACATAAAATTTTCCATTTCATTATTATTTGGTGTCATTAGAAGAATCCACTAAACCAACAATCGAAAAAATACACGCAAACATAATGATTCCGGCCCCGCGCTTGCGCGGGGAGTATACAACTAGTATATATAATAATATCAGTAACTTTAAAAATGATACAAACTAATAAAAAGTGTATCACTTTATTGAATGATGCCAATTAAATTTATAATAACATCATTTACTATAACTGATGTTAATTTATATATATTTGTATCATTTATAAATAAGTAATTTAAAATTGAATCATTTAGTTTTATGATATAATTTAAGTGATGTATGTCATCTCTTTTTTTGTAGTGCGTGATTCCGTGACGATTTCATGTGATTCCAAACGTTTCTGGTTCCGTGTAACGTATGATTAAACACACCTCCATCGGCGATTCCGTTTGTAACGTATGATTAAATAGACAGAACATTTTATTCTATAATAAAATTAATAATCTCATTTCACCCAAGGCGCAGAGTATTATCTAGTTCCCAAGTATTTGTCATATGGAATCGTAAGAATTAGTAATATATACTCCCGGTTTCACAATTATGTTTTTTCATATATAAAAACATATCACATTAGACTTTTGTCACTATTTTTTTTTCTTAACATACTTTTGTCACTATTTTTAATTGTTATCAATTCTCAATAACATTAAAATCAATAGTAGTTCATACTCGAGCAATTTTATTGAAAACTTACAATCTATTAATATTAACTAGTAAAAAAAAATAGAGAAATTTATCTTTATGAATTTTCTTTGTTAAATCCAGTTTTTTTTAATTATAGAGATAGTGGTCAGTAACTCAGTATCCATATTTTTCCTCAATAATATCAAGACATAAAATCATGAAAAAGTCAATAAAATCTCAAAACACAAAATCAAATGAAATTTCAAAATCATTACCAGTTTAACAAATCGAGAAGAAGACAAGCAGATTCATCAAAACACAAACCGGAAGATAGCTTTGTATAGAAGCAGAAGCATCCGACTTTTTCATGTTAATCCCTTTCTTATTAGCTTTAACTCCATCACCGTTGACTTCAACATTAGCACCAACCTCGACCCCATACCTCTTGGTTTTCCAAAACGCAACCTTGAATCTCACTTGCGTCTTCAAATCCAATCGGAAAACCGCCGATCCATTAGGCAAAACCGCTCCTAAAAGCGTCTGGTTGTTCAAAGGCACAACCTGGCCCCACTTCTTGGCTTTTTTCTTGTGTCCCTGGTAGAATCTTGGCACTGTGTAGTTAGCTATAGAGGAATTGGTAGCGTTGGAGAAGTAAATGTGGACATCATCGTAGTAGATTCCTTGGTCACTGTTTATATTATTTAGACGTACCATGAAGTTGAGAGTGGTATTGAGTCGCGAGTTTAGGGTTTTGTTGAGGGCAGGGACGTAAAAGTATTCGATAGAGCAGTTTGGATCGAAGGGACGCATTCGATGGAGACCTACCCATAACATGAGGGAGGTGAATGCAGCTGCGAAGATTAAGCCAATGAAGTAGCTAGTTGGACCACGTTTCATTTCTCGTTCGTATTCTAGAGGTAACATCTTTTTCAAAGATTTTGATATTCTCTTATTGAAAGATTGAAGATGAAGATGAAGCTGTTGTTCTGTATTTTCTTATAGATTCTTTGGTCTGATTTTCAGGATGCTATAAGAGACGACTTATTAGTAGGAGACGGTGAGACACATGATGCGCTTGCTTAGACAAATAATAAAGAAAAAAACTACTTAATGTATGTAAGAAGGCAAATAAAATAATCCTAAGACTTTTTTGGGCATTATAAAAAGAGGCCAAAGGGATGTCCTTCGTATTTTCTTATTTTTATTACACAAATTCAACTTATCAACTTATGTTATTTGTTGTTTTATTGTGGTATTGATATATGTATTTTGTGTAATCTGTTAAAGATTTAATTAATAAATTTAAGGTTGTAAAGAAAATCAATTTATCAAACCGATTACTCTGTATCTGCATGATCCATCTCAAAGTTTTTATTATATCTCCGCTTGGTTTTAATATCTTTTTTTTTGCTAAGGGCTTGGCTTTAGTATGCTGTGCATTCTTCTTCTTAAAATCTGATATCCATGGGGGACAGTTGCATTCCCATTTCCTAATCCTTGATGTTGGAGGTAGAATAAAGCTTGGAAATTCTTTAGCATCTGTAATTCAAGAGAAAATTCCGATTGCATACGTGTCAATATTATCTAAACCACCTCTGTATATGATCTAATCAAGTACGTGCATCTGTCTGATAGAATGATGTTTTGCTTTTAAGCGGGTGATCAAATTTGTGAAAAAGTTTCACACAGTGCAGTTATATTATCACATACTGAACCAAACTTAGTAATTTTGTCAAAATCCAAAAGCTGAAATTCGGAAGAAAAAAAAAACTTGACGATCATGTACTCTAATTTACTTCGTTTTGAAACATAAATTATATTATATAAAACATTACGACTATACTTCTGTGGTTCACTCTTTGTTCCTTGATTTCAAGCCCAATATATAAATTTAAATTTCACGAAACAGTTATAGGTAAACTATTCAATATATGAAGTACTTGGTCGAATTGAGAAATTATGAAGAAGATGGAACAACACAAAGCAACAAAAGTTGAAGGAAAAAAAACTAAAAAGCAATAGTAATTTAAAAGATATAATACCAACAATAGCAACCACAACAACAACAAAAAGAAGCAAATGAAAGTCAGAAGCACCAAACAGTTTAACAGATAGCAAAGAAGACAAGCAGATTCATCAAAACACAAACAGGTAAATAGCTTCTTAACGAAGATGAAGAAGAAGAATCAGATTTCCTCATCTTAATCCCTTTCTTATTAGATTTAAATCCATCTCCATTGACTTCAACTTCAGCACCAACATCGACCCCAAACCTCCTAGTTTTCCAAAACGAGTTCTTGTACCTCACTTGCGTCTTCAGGTTTATCCGAAAACTCGCCAATCCATTAGGCAAAACTGCTTCTAAAACCGTCTGGTTGTTCAAAGGCACAACCTGACCCCACTTCTTGGCTTTTTTGTTGCGTCCCTGATAGAATCTTGGCACCGTGTAGTTAGCGATGAATACATAGGTGACGCTGGAGAAGGAAAGGTGGACGTCGTCGTAGTAGATTCCGTGGTCACTGTTTGGATTATCTAGACGAACCATGAAGTTGAGAGTGGTGTTGAGTCGTGAGTTTAGGGTTTTGTTGAGGGCTGGAACGTAGAAGTAGTCGATAGAGCATTTTGGAACATCTGAACCCTTTGGACGGAGCTCTATCCAAACCAAGAGAATAATGACTCCAGTTGTGATGATTAGGCAAAAACCGAAGCGCCACCAGCATTTTCTACAATCGGCTCTCCTTTGAGCATCGAAACGACTCATGTTTTTTTTCCAAAGTATTGATATTGATATTTTGGTTAGAAAGATTGAAGATGACTTTTTTTATATTGATTCTTTGGTCTGATCGTTGGGCATTTCTTTTACTGCTATTTCAAATTGGCAACTCAAAGAGATGACTAAATAAGAGCCTGGAGAGATAGATTTAAAAACTATAAAAATTAAATTAATTAATGCATGATTGAAGTCTTGAAGATAAATAATATAACTCGAAGACTTCTTTCGGTCTTATATAGAAAGACCAAAGCTGTTTTCCAAACAATATATATATTATATAAGACCAGAAAGGAATGTTCGTTTTTGGTAAAGCCAAAAGGGATGTTCCATAACAGATCCCACTTATCAAACCGAAATTTTGAGATTGTAAATGAAACTTGGAAAACTGGAAAATGAAATACCTGATGATAACCTCCACCAGACCGATAAACCGATTTATACAACATAAGACCAACAATCGAGCCTACATGAAACTACCCGTCTACCACATTGGTCACTGAAAGATTCTTAAGGAAAAAAAAATAATTTAGAATGAATAATTTAGAATGATTTTTGCCTTTATTTTAACAACTATTGTAGTAACTTCCAGTGGCAACTTTCACAACAATCAATACAAAACAAAAAAGTTAAAATAATACTTCCTCCGTTTCTGAATAAATGTCATTTAAATATTTTTCACACAGATTAAGAAAGTGGTTGAAATATATGTAATTTATTATTAATTATACCTTTTTAACCAATAGTATTTTAAATAAATAGAATTATTTATGAAATCAATGCATTTTAATTAATTTTCAACTGAAATTAAATATAATTTGTATTAGAATTATAAAGTGACATTTTTTATGTAACAAGAAAAATGGTTAGAATGATACTTATTATAAAATAGAGGGAGTATAAAACAACGCGATTAATACACTATATATATACTGGTAAGGACCGTGAGGCAAACACCATACTAAAATATTAAAAACAATTACAATACAATATGCGATTGGTTCTATATATACTGATATGAACAACTAAGAACACAACATAGCCCCCAAGTTATTGGAATAAAAATATTACTATTGGTTATTTTGTTTTGTATTTTGCGGCAAATGAATAAAGTTATTGGAATAAAAATATTACTTTCAATGTTACATTTGAACAGTTGCATAACATTGGAATAAATTCTCATTTTGCATGTTACAGATTTTAAAAGTTATTTTTTGCTAATATATATATTAATACTATTATGCACTTGTTGTCATGTGTTCTTTGTTCCTTCATTCAATCTCAAGATATAACTGATTTTCAAATATAATTTGTGGATAGAGAAACTAACACATATTCTGAAACAAATTAATAATATAATAAACAAGAATTTGACCCGCACATTCGTGCATATATTTTTCATTGAATATTTAAGTTGATATTATCATAAAAGTTTTAAATATATGATTTACATTTATTTTTATATATTGTAAAACTCTATAATTTATTGTTTAAACTTCTTATTCGTCATTATTGATATATGAAATTTATTTTATACATATTATTTTCTTATTGATTCTTATTAATTATTAATATATTTTGAGTTCGATACATAATTATAATTTGAAATGATCAAATATATAATCTTCTTTAAGATTAGTTTTTAATTTCTACAATTTGCATACAATTTGCTTATGATCATTTATATTTTTATGTTGTGTTTAAAAAATAATACTTTAACACCTATCTCTTTAATATTTTGCGAGATTTTATAAGTAATTACATTTTTATGTTTAAATAAGATATCTCTGTTATTATAGTAAATTGCACACATAGTAGTATCTTATCATATAATTTTAGTAAATTTTATAAATAAATGATATTTCTTGGATTTATTAAGTTTTCTAATTTATTATTATTAAATTAAGATTTCAAAATATTATATTACTTTGATTGTTAACAACATGATCTTTTGTGTTTTAGCATCTATGATTTCATGCTATATAAAATTTGAAATATTATACTTTTGAGTTTTTCATATTTATTTTTTAAAGATTATAAAGAGAAATTTAAAAAAATTACACAACGATTTTTTAGTTTGGAAGATATATGATTATGAATTTTAGTTACTAAATTAGTGTAGTATTCTACAAAACAAAATATATATATATTTGAATTTTTGGTAAGATTTTTTATATTTTCTCAACAGATTCCGTTACACTTAAAATAAAAATTAAATTTATATGAAAATTTATTTATGATTAATATTTTAATAAATTACTAACATATTTAAACTTTTCTAGTAATATATTTGTAAAATAATACATAAACTAAAGATTAGTTAAATACTATTACTTTTTTATATAATTATATAGAGATAATATATTGCTATCAGTTTCAAAATAAGTAAAATGATATTATATAGTTGCAGATATAAAGTTTAATATATCTTGATAATTTAATTTTTGTATAAAATATGTTAGAGTTAACGAATTTTTACCCATTTTATTGATGAATGATTATTTATTTAAAAGGAAATTGTTTTAAAAAAAAATCTGTTAATCAACAAATTTATTATATTTTGCTTGTATTTAATTTATAGATTACGTCTACTTTAGTGTAAAATATAATTAAAAAATAACATAGAATTTTTATGATAAATTATTAACTATCATTAATTTCTAATAAGATTACATTACTTATTAAGAAATTATAATGCATTATTTTATAAAAAAAATCTTAAACTTTTGGTAGGATCTTGTTATATTTTGCTCAAAATATTTTATAAAATTCAATTTTCTAGTTAAATTTCATTGATTATTAATATTTTTACCGATTATTGAGATTTAATATTAATAAGCAAATATATCAGATTAGATAGTTGATTAAATGATCCTACTATTTTCATTCAAAACATAAATGGTCCTACTATGACTTATCATCAGTAGATAAAATATAAGACTCGAAATTAATAATTAGATATTTGTTTTTATAATAAAACAAATAATAAAATTAGTTTATAATAAGGGATAATTTGCAAAATACCCTATTTAGAATTTGAAATTTGAAAAATACAATGCCTTTAATTTTTTTTTTTGAAATCTACACTTCCTTAAATGAGAATTTACTTTTTTATCCAAATTAGATATTTTAATAATTAAGATATAAATTCAAA